TTTAGATAGAGATTACTTGGAACAGTGCCTGATACACAGTAAGCACAAAACAAACATTGATATTATTAGTTTACATGATGTCTATTTTCAAAGATAAGTTTACCATAAACCTTAGGGTAATTAAACTGACCATTTAAAGCTCAGTTTAAGAAATCTGTGGAAAGCGTTTGAAAGGCCAGTGCCAGGCCCCTGGATGCATAGACATTTTATAGCAATTTTCAGAATAGTGGTTAGTCCTGAGGAGATAATTTGATTTGACTATTTATAAGAGAAAGGAAAGGCAGGAGAGGAGCAAAGAGGATCACTTCTCAGTTTATTGATTCATTCCCTGAACATTTATTGCCATATATACAGTTGTTCTCCAAGTGTGGTTTACAAGGCCAAAAACTATTCTCATACCAACACCAACATATTATTTGTATTTTTCACTGTGCTGACATTTGAACTGATGGTGCAGATGCAATGGTAGGTAGAACTGCTGGTGCCTTAGCATGAATCAGAAGGGTAGAATCAAACTCTCATTTTCTTCATCACCGCAATCCCAGTAAAAGAAATCTCTGCCCTGCCCTGCCCTGCCTCTAAGAATATGATCATTTCCTTTTTCTCTAGTAATTTAATACATTAGGTTTGTCAAAAACCTAAATTTGTTAGAGAAACACCAAATTTTTTTTTTTTTAATTGCGAGTAGATACGATTCAGAATGGGCTGTGTTACCTGAATATGTAGCGAAGGTGCTCCAAAGAGGGGACAATGAAAGCAGGTTATATAGGTCACTGTTATGTTAACATATCAGAAGATAACATCAAAGCATAGGGAAGGTTACAGAAACAGTCACCAAGGACATGCCATACATCTTAAAACAACCTCTATCTAGTCAGACCCTGGAGTTTCTGCTTTTCGAAGCTAGCTCCCTCTTTACCCAATGTTTCTCTTTCCGCAGTGTCAGTTAGCCAGGGTCAACCACAGTCCACAGTGCTTGTGTTCAAGTAACCCTTATTTTAATTAATAACGGCCCCAAAGTACAAGAGTAATGATGCTGGCAAACTGGATATGCCAAAGAGAAGCTGTAAAATGCTCCTATTATTTATCGTTGTTAATCTCTTACCGTGTCTAACTTATAAATTAAACTTTATCATAGATATATAAGTATAGGAAAAAACATGGGGCCCTGGTGGCACAATGGTTAAGAGATTGGCTGCTAACCAAAAAGTCAACAATCCACCAGTTGCTCCTTAGAAACCGTATGGGGCAAGTTCTACTCTGTCCTACAGAGTCGCTGTGAGTTGGAATCGACTCAATGGCAACAGTTTTTTTTTTTTTTAAGGTAAAAACATGGTATGTGTAAAGTTCAATACTATCTGCAGTTTCAGGCATCCATTGCGGATCTTGGAACATATCCCCCCATGGATAAGGGGGGACTACTGTAGATAATTTTCCAAAAGAACTTCATACTCTACTAAGCTGTTCTTACTATTGTTCAACTTGAAGATGACTCCAGGGAACCAGTTCCATCAATGTTCAAAAGGACACCTAAGGGTGGTTGGCCTGTGTGGGTTACCCCAATTCCATGAACCCAGAAATCTGGATTCCAGGAGAATCAAAACAATTTTGTCATGTTGATAAATTTCCTGATATCAAACCTTTATAAGTGAGATTGATCGGATGATCAGGTTTAGATATTAATCGGAATTCATAAAATGAATCAGGGAATTTTCCAACTTTTTGTACAGCTTTGAGTAGTTTGGAGCCCTGGTGGTGCAATGGTTAAGAGCTCAGTTGTTAACCAAGAGGTTGGCAGTTCAAATCCACCAGCCACTCCTTGGAAACCCTATGGAGTAGTTCTACTAAGCTCTATAGCTTAGCTATGAGTTGGAACTGACTCCACAACAATGGGTTTGGTTTTGAGAGTAAATAAAGACCAGTCAAAACTCAGCTATGAACCCATTTGGCCAAGTTGCCTTCTCAGTGGTAGAGCTTTAATTACATTTCCTGATTAGTCAAAATTTTCAGTTTTTGGAGGGAGGAGTCAATATTCATTTTTTTATCCTTAAAATTCTGTAATTTAACAACGATGTGTCTTGGTACACTAAGTATCTTATTACTTTTCCACCCCAGCCCCATCCCTGGACATAGGGTGCCCCTCATTTGAACAATCAAGTTCTAGTTTTACAACAATTGCTTTTTTTCTCTTATACATTTGAATATAATGCAGTACCTATAAACATGCTTGTGTGTGTGAGATTGACCTTTGAATAGTCAGCTATTTGCTGAATAGCATAGACATAGTATGAGGACAATACCAAAACCAAAACACCAAACCCGTTGCCATCATGTCGATTCCGACTCATAGCGACCCTATAGGGCAGAGTAGAACTCCCCCATAGGGTTTCCAAGGAGCAGCTAGTGGATTCGAACTTCCAACCTTTTGGTCAGCAGCAAAACGCTTAACCACTTCGCATGTTATCTAAACATTCACCAAATTTCTTAGGTTGTCTTCCCTAGGAGCAAGTCTCCCTTGCTTCAGTTTTCAGCCTTCAAATGGATAACAGGGCTTACGGTCATCATGGTTTCTGTCAGTTTCACATCCCCTGTCATTCTGCTGCATAGGATTTCGGCCTAAAATGATCAAATGGGCCTACTTACACTGCATCTTGCACAAGGGACTGGAGAGGTTTATGTCAGATTTTAGTCTCCTTCATTTTCGGCTGCTAATCAAAAGGTTGGAGTTTCAAGTCCACCATGAGGTGCCTCAGAAGAAAGCCTGGAGATCTACTTCCAAAAAAATCAGCCACTAAAAACTTTATGGAGTACAGTTCTATTCTGACATACGTGGGGTTGCCATGAGTCAGAGTTGACTCTACAGCAACTGGTTTTCATTTTGCTCCAAATCTCAAAGCACTGGGGAGTTATTTTTTATTATTATTATAAATTATGGTTTCCTTATTTAAGAGGGATGTTTTTATCTTAAATCTATTTTTAATCTGTTGTTAGTGCTTTCAAGGGAGAAGATGAGAGTAAAAATATTACCCTGCTAAATCAAATTATAAGATTTTTATTCTGCTCAATGGAGAATATTTCTAAAAATAAATACAATATTAATAACTGATTTCCATTACTAAAGGATTAAAAAATTGCTCAGCATATTTAAAATAGTTTTACTTTTAATAACTTTATTCACACATTCTTCCAGGAACTGAAATGTAGTTAATAAGACGACACCTTTATAATACGAAAGAATACTACCAAACAACTGTAAAATAATAACCACATAACCTCTTGAGATAGCAAAAATGATTGGCTCCATAAAGAAAATACTGATACCTATTTCTAAATTTCAGGACTAAGGTTTGCCTAACGCAAGCCATGATATTTTCAATCATCTCATATACATATGAAAGTGGACAATGAATATGGAAGACCAAAGAAGAACTGATGCCTTTAATTATGGTGCTGGTGAAGAATATTGAATATACCATGGACTGCCAAAAGAATGAACAAATCTGTCTTGGAAGAAGTACAGCCAGAATGCTCCTTGGAAGAGAGGATGGCGAGACTTCGTCTCACATACTTTGGACGTGTTATCAGAAGGGACCAGTCCCTGGATTAGGACATCATGCTGGGTAAAGCAGCGGGTCAGTGAAAAAGAAGACGACCTTCAATGAGACGGATTGACACAGTGGCTGCAACGATAGTCTATAGCCTAACAACTGTGAGGATGGCGCAGGACCAGAGTTTCGTTCTGTTGTCGTGATGAGTTGGAACCAACTTGACGGCACCTAACAATTTCTAAATTAATTTTCCTCATATGGAACACGAAGATTGGCAAATAAGGTGTTGGTGGTAAAATAAAAGGAATCATGGTTAGGATTCAGAAAAATTATTCAATACCCAGGCCCAATTTCTCTGGAATCTTAATTGGAAAACAATAGAGCCTAACAGATTCATCTGAGCTAAATTTCTACCTGTTTTTGTTTCTTAGAATGAGGTTAAATCTGAAAATTGTATTTTCAGACAAAACCATCTGTACAGGGTTGGAGTATACAATTTCTGTAATGTCCTTTAAAACACTAAAATTCTATAATCCAAAAACATACCATCATGCGCCTGAAAGGTTCAATTTTTCTCCAGTGTTTATAAAGAAGTAGAAATTTTTAAACTTTTTTAACTTACATCATGTGTCATGCTTATGTTCCATACTTTTTATACTAGCGCTAAATCCTACTTCCTTCTCTATGATTCAAATCTTCTAGTAGACTTCTAGAAAGCCTAGCGCCATTTTCTGTAAGAATATGTGGGTCTTGATGGCTTTTTAACTCTATGATGTCTTCTGTATTCATTAGTACCTTTCCAGTTGCAAGTTCAGAAACCCAATAGGCTTATGAGCAAGTTTATGCTCATGGAACCAAAACGTGGATGGCTGAGGCTCAGGAACGAATGTAATCAGATTAAAAAACCTACTGGATTCTGTTGAATCTTTTCATTCTCTACTAGTTTTGTTCTTTCAAATCAACTTTCTCCAGATCATAGAAAAAATATGACTGTGGAGGGCACCCATGATGAGACTAGTTCTTTTTGTTTCCAATTTTTTAAATCTCAATCACTGATTAACTCAATTTGGGCCAATCAATGGGTGACCAGGGAATTATGATCTGTGAGATGGTAGCAGCTCCCATTCAAACAATGTAACAAATGAAAAAGAGTATCTCCTTCAAAGAAAGGAATGCTGTATTCAAGAACAGGGGAAGAGGAATCTAATTCACATCATATCCATCACGGTAAAATGTTTTTGAGAAAAGCAAAATACCAGGTGTTTTTTTTTTTTTTTTTGAGAATCTACTGTATGCCAATCACTCTACAAAGCACTTTACATAAATTATTTCATATTCTCCCAATAATCCTGTGAAGTAGGAATTACTGTCTCACAGTTTCAGACGAAAAAATAGACATAGAAAGGTTAAACAAAGGTCATACGGGTCTAGAAATTTTAATGCTTTTACTATTTATTGTTTTTTTTTTTTAATTTGGAAAACAAAGTAATGTAAAATAATTTGCATCATACTCCGCTTTAGATAAGCACAAGCTGAAGTTAATGAAAAATAATAAAGACTGACACAACCGGCAATACTATTATTAATTTTTCATTTTGAGAGAGAAGCATGCGTTTTTACAGCACCTGTAAACAAGTCAGTAAAATACACCATTCTGAGATTCTCCATACTTATTTTGGAATGTTAGAATACCATAACATCAACTGCGTTACATAATAGTTACTGAAGGCAAGTCAGGGTAAAAATTTATGGCTAAAAGTATTCATAGCAGCAACTTTTAAAAGATAATTTTATTAAATCAAGTCATTGCACTTGGTCATTTTATTGCTACAGCAAAACAAGGCCATTAAATTACAATACTTCTCATTTCTGATTTTAACTGATTGTCTTATTCTGCTCATACATTTCAAGTTTAAATGCAAGGATAAAATGCTTACCAAAAGAGCGCTTTTTTTTTTCCTGGAATAACAGTAAAGAGCATAAAATAAGAGAATCCTCTGTTACACCAGGTCCGTTCTCTCTTTGCATGTTCAGACTTACATTTTAGAAAGAGGTAACAACTTTAAAATTAGACAGAAGCTTACTGGTCACACAAAAACTACTCATACTATTGGAATACAATTAGGTAATTAGCGATATTATATGTTTCAGAGAATAACAAACCTAAACAATTACATTCACCTATAATTTGGCAATGCAGATTCCATACTGTTCACCTTTAGAGTCTGTTATTTATACTCCATTAAAAAAAAAAGGGTTATTTAATAATTTACTCCTAGGTAAAGGCTATTATTATTACATTTTGTGATATAAACTTTATGAATGGGAATTAATAAAAGTTCCCGTATAAAGAGCAAATACTACTAGTAAATTGCTAGATCAAAGGAATCATTTTTTCCCTTTGGGTTTGGTTTTCTTTACTGTTGGGTCAAGCATAAAAATAGAAATAAAAATACTTCAAATACTTTTCTATCTTGATTGAGGAATACACAAGCAAAAACTTAAAATGTATTTCAGTACTCATGACCCTCTTCATTTTACACTTTAGTGAGAAAATGACCAACAAAAACTTTTAAGAACTGCCTGAAATCTGCCAGAACCTTACACACCCCGTTACTGAGGTGGTGTGGGACCAGTTAATAGATTTTCCATTGAGAAAGCTGGAGGGTGACTTCTAGGATACATGGTCATTATTCTAATTTTTTATCTAAGGACAGTCATTAAAAGAAAATAAAAATATAATTGAATTACCAAGAAGGACATTATTCAATTGATTAGTTATTTTAATACATTAGAACGGGAGGGAACAATTTTGTTCAGGAGTGCTCTCATTAGGAGAAGAGTTCAAAGACTGTAAAGAGGTAATATGTACACCTCAATGCACAATCAGCTTTCCCCAAAAGCACTGATGTAAGTCGTCAATTAGACATTAAGTTATTGTATATTGGCATTTCTATTAATTTCTACTTCAGCTCTCTTTTATTTGAAACATAAGAAAATTTCAATTACACAAGATTTCAGTTAAGATTAAAATTTAAAGGAAAATATGGGTTAGGTTGTTTAAAACAACATATCATGGAAGCATGATAGTTGGTACTCAAAATTTGAAAGTCATCTGCTATAACAAAGCTTAAAACCTAGTATTTTTGCGAGTGAAAAAATGTCAGTTTTTGTTTTAATATAAACCCACGTTTATATACATATTTCCTATAGACAGAACACTTAAAAGACTCAACTGATCACAAATGACTCAGGAAAAAACTGCTAATTCATCCATTTTGTGAAAACGCATTTTGAATAGGGTTGACTATTATCTAGTTTTAAATAAGCTGTAATGTTATATTTTATGATGTGCTAACACTCTTTATAAAGTTGGTACCTAAATGACAGTCCAAAATATCTCCAGTAGTTAACTGGGTCTATTAGGTAAATTATACAATGTAAAACCTGAGTGTTTACATCATGATTATTTGTCAAATTATGAAACCTCATACTGAAGTTCTGAAAGTTCTATAGTTTTGATTTTCCTAATGTCACCATTATTAAAAATCAGAGAAACGGGCATGAAGAACTAAATTACAAAATCCTGAAATGAGTAATATCTGGACCTGTAAAATAAGCAGAAAAATACAGCAATAAGGCTGGTAATTGCATATATGTGCTGTAGTTCCTAGGCACACCAAGTGAAGGATTAAATTGACAGTTTTAGACTCCTTAGATCTAATGAATTTGAAATAAACCTCATATTTTCCCAAATATATTTAACAATCCAATACATTTTAACTAAATTCCTTTTATGAATCCTATAGTGCAAGCAAAATGAAATAATCTAAAAACTGAAGAAATTACTTTATTTCATTAGTTATTACTATACGCATGGGTGCCTAATCTGGTTTATAGCTAGGAAACTCCTATTTCATCACCCAAAGTATAAACAGCACTGCAGACAAACAGGCACAACAGTGTAATCCTGGGTAAGAAAGCTAAAAGTAAAAAAAATATATATACAAAGTTTATATCCCTTATGTATTATGGGAAAAGTAGTGACTATAGTTATTATAAAGCTAATCTGTCCCTCTCAAATAGTATATTTTACAGATTACTTGTAAAGATATCACCATATTTATAGATCTTTTTAAAAATAATACTACAAGTTTCAATAAAAAAACTATTATGAACTTTCTTTCCTTTTTATACAGATTCAGTAGTATTTTCAAGCAAACCTTAAAAAAAAAAAAGTTTGCAATTCCAGCATAATTAAGAAATAAGGCCTCTTTTTTTTTCATATTGGCAAAACAAAATATATATAAAAAATTTACCCTTCTCCTACTTTTCTATAGATATTCTAGTTCATTTTTCTTTATAACAACACCAACTTTTGTTATTTTTAAGTAACAAGTCAGTTGAAGTTCATAGTGTTGCTTTCAAATCCCTGGAACATTAAGAACACTGGGTCCATGCCGCCTCAAGAAGACAGGACTGCTTTTTTCAGCTTCTCTATTTCCACCTAAAATACAAAACAAAAATTTAGCAAAGTTTCTTTATGGGGGCATTGGTAGTTCAGGGGTAGAATTCTCGCTTTCCATGTGGGAGACCCAAGTTCGATTTTTGATCAATGCACCTCTAGTGCAGCCACCACCCATCTGTCAGTGGAGGCTTGTGTGCTCCTATGATGCTGAACAGATTTCAGCTGAGCTTCCAGACTAAGACAGACTAGGAAGAAAGGCCTGGTGATCATTTCCAAAAAATCAGCCAATGAAAACCTTATGGATCACAATGGTCCAATCCCATTGTACATGTGGTTGCCATGAGTCAGGGGCCAACTCAATGGCAGCTACTAACAATGAAGTTTCTTTATTTTACTCTATGTCATTAAGATCTGGTCATACTTTCAAATTTCTAGATTTTACTTCCATGATGTAATAAGTATGAAAAATGTTCAAAAGAGAAGAAAATGTCACAATATAACTTCTTATAATAGTAGATGACAACAAGAAAAAAGCAACTGTAGTTCTTTCAGCCAGAACAATGTTAAGTAATGGGAATATTTGAAAAGAACTATAAAAAACTGAAAGTCCTACAAAGAATCCTCGAAACCAAAGTAAGAAATGTAACTGGATCTGGAATTAATCAAAGGGGGCAATACAGAAAGAAATATGGAAAGAATAAAGAAAAGACCAGGTTGGTTCCGTGTTTTCACTAATGAGGTTAAATCACTTAATCTTACTAGTCTCAGTTTCCCCATCTATAAACTTACAAATTACATTCACATATATTATCTCAACAACTAAAGCTAAACAAGGTTAAGTGACTTGGCCAAGGTGGTACAGTATATAACTTAATCCCTAAGAGCAAAGACTCTGAAACCTGGCTGCTTCTGTTAAAAATTTCAATTCCACTGCTGTTATTTAATCAATCCTAAACCCTAGTCTCTTTATCCTTAAAATAGGAACAATAATCCTTACAGCTTGTTATGTGTATCCAATGAGGTAATATGCTAGAAGTGTTAAGTCTAATTGATACATAGTTAAGAACTCAAAGTTAGTCACTATTGTAATCAGAACTGGAGCTCTAGTCTTCCAAATGCAAGTCTCATGTTCTCTCTGTTTTATAATGATGAAAAAAGAAAAAGGATAAGAAATGAGGCAAGATAAAAATATGGAAGAGTATGAAATACTTAAATGAAGAACAGGAAGAGCCTCTGAAAAATGGCAAGGCACAACTTTCTCTAAGATGTGCAGAAAGAGGTATACAAATGAAGGCAGACAGTGAAGAAAAAAGAAAGAGAACTACACACAGCTCAAGGAAAAAGATCGGGAATTTGAGACTCATAAGAGGCAAAAGATCTGGAACTTGAGACCTGTAATAGGAAAAAACCATGTAAGTTTTATTCACTAGTATATACCTAATCCTCATGCGGTGCCTAAAGACAGTGTTCAACAAGTATTTGCTGAATGAATGAATGGAATGTGACAGGGAGGCAACAAGAGATTAATTAAATGGTTATCAAGCAGTAGGGAGTGTCCAACTGAAGCAGGACAGCATGATTTTTAGTGAAATCAATCACGCAGCTGGATTGGAGGAAAAAAAAAAAAAAACAAACAAACACATCCAGTTTATGCTGACTGAAATCTCAATACTGGGAAAACTGAATTACCTCTAGATTACTTCTCATTGCCTTCTCTTCTTCCAAATCCTTTCGTAGTTTTTCTAGTTCTTTCCTAAAAATAAAGTATTTATTAGTGATAAGTATTTCAATTAAACAATATATTTGACTAAAGTTAACAGGATCTCTGTTGCCTAGCCTCCCAGAACAAGGGGGAATGTTTTAAGGGAAATAGCCGTGCTGATAGAGTAAAATTTCATATTCTCTAGTATGCACGGCTCAATATGACAGCTAAAAACTCCATAAAACCAAGGCAAACCTATCTGATATAAAAAATTCATAAAGAGCAGCTCATGATTAAACACATAATAATAACTGTATATTCAGCTAGCATGCATTTCCTAGGCTGGAAACTCAAGAGCTCAAACAATTTGGTAAAATGAGTGTCAACACATGTCACAGTATAAGGCAAATTAGTTTATTTGACAAGATACCTGGATTTTATGTTTCCTCTCTTTTTTAAATGAAATATTACATTAAAATTAAATAACCAAACCAATAAAGAAATAAAAAACTTCAGCCAGTAATCTCTCTTCCTTAACTCATGCTTTCATTTTTCTGCGCTCCCTTCTAATCTATCTTTTCATATAGTCTGTGGTACAATGGATAGCTTTTATGTGGCCTTTTTAGCCATGGTCTTATAATTCCAACCAAGTGACTGGAATAATAAGTGGGACTGTGCAACTAAGGCAATTGTGGCCCACCAAGAGGACTGGTCAGTTTTGCCGTAAAAGACAGCCAATTCCAGAGCAGAGAGAGGATCCCACCACCACCAAGGAAGAATAGCCAAGAACAGAGAGTACATCCTTTGGACTCAGGATCCCTGCGCTGAGAAGCTTCTGGACCCAGGAGACAGAGAGGGAGCTGTAACCCTGAAGAGGGTGAGAAGCTGTGGCTGAGAAACGGCAGCAGGAGAGACTGGCAGGAGAGACCAGCAGGAGACTGCGCAGTGGGCTCCCCCCCAAACAGAGGGAGAAAGCTGAGTGCCTTTGGACCAAGGCTTACTGGTGGAGTAGGGTGCCTCCGGGGACTTACTGGCAGGGGCTAAAAGAGCTTTGTAACACTTGCCTGAGCAGGGCAGAGGCCTAGGGCCAGAGAGAAGTGTGCCTGCAGGCACAGCTTAAAAGAGGCTGTCCTGATGGAAGAACTGTATCCCGAGTGTTCATGAGCCTGAACTGTAGCCTGTTACTTGCCTAATAAACCCCGTAATTGTGAGTATTGTCTGTGAGTTCTGTGTGGCCACTGCAATGAATTATCAAACCCAGAAGAGAAGTAAAGAGTGCTGTGGGAGGGACAGTTGGCACCAGAGTTGGTAAAGATGGCGGAGAAAGAAGGCATGTCTGACCTCCACCTCACAGGAATCAGCCTTGGGCTGTTGATCTTGATTCTCCTTCCCCCTTGTGAAGCCAGGGGTGGTCAGACACAGTCCCCATGTCATTTTTGCATAGTCTTTTCTCCTTCAATAGCTATAAGTATATAGTCTGTATTATGCCTTTTCACAAATTATTTTAAAACATGTTCATGTCGCTAAAATGTTCCTCTTTATCATATCTATGGGCATTCAAATACCCTGGGTGTGTGTGTGTGTGTGTGTGTGTGTGTGTGTGTGTGTGTGTGTGTGTGTGTGTGTGTGTGTATTTTGGTTGAGAAGAAGGAGAAATAGGGATTTTATACGACAACAAGAATACTTCAGTATTTAAAATTACTAAATCAAAAAGTATGCACTTTTTCGGCTTCTTGACATACACTAGAAAAATTCTCAAGAGTATTCTATGAAGAACTGCTTGAGAAACTCATGAGATGCTTTGCAAGGAAAGAATATATGAGGAAGAAAGGAAGCTTTAAATTATTTATACAGTTAATGTTACATTTCTCATGTGGCTTTAATGATCGTTGTTGGTAGGTGCCGTCGAGTCAGTTCTGACTCATGGCGACCCTATGAACTACAGAATGAAACACTGTCCAGTCCTGTGCCTTCTTCACAACTGTTGTTAGGCTTGAGCCCATTGTTACAGTCACCGTGTCAATCCATCTTGTTGAAGGTCTTCCTCTTTTTTGCTGACCCTGCACTTTACCAAGCACAATATCCTTCTCCAGGGACTGATCCCTCCTGAAAACATGCCCAAAGTATGTGAGACATAGTCTCGCCATCCTTGCTTCTAAGGAGCATTCTGATTGTACTTCTTCCAAGACAGATTTGTTCATTCTTTTGGCAGTCCACAGTATATTCAATATTCCTTGCCAACGCCACAATTCAAAGGTGCCAACTCTTCCCTGGTCTTCCTTATTCATCGTCCAGCTTTCCCATGCATATGAGGTTATTGAAAACACCATGGCTTGGGTCAGGCACACCTTAGTCTTCAAGGTGACATCTTTGCTTTTCAACACTTTAAAGAGGTCTTTTGCAGCAGATTTGCCCAATGCAATGCATCTTTTGATTTCTTGACTGCTCCTTCCACGAGTGTTGACTGTGGATCCAAGTAAAATGAAATCCTTGACAACTTCAATCTTTTCTCCATTTATAATGATATTGCTTATTGGTTCAGTTGTGGGGGCTTTTTTTTCTTTATGTCGAGGTGTAATCCATACTGAAGGCTGTAGTCTTTGATCTTCATCAGTAAGTGCTTCAAGTCCTCTTCACTTTCAGCAAGCAAGGTTGTATCATCTGCATACCGCAGGTTGTTAATGAGTCTTCCTCCAATCCTGATGCTTCGTTCTTCTTCATATAATCCAGTTTATTGGACTATTTGCTCAGCAAATGATTCGGTGATTAAGCAACCATCTCTCTATGACAGGGATAAATTTTCTACAGTTTTCCACTAATAATAATTTTTAAAATAATAATGTTTAACTCAAATTTATTTAGAGCTTATTTTCCTATGTGACATTAAAATGTGCATCCAAGCTAATTAGCTTAATATTCCCATAGTTATCCCTAAATTAAATAATGCTTTTTGTTCAATTATTTTATATTCTCAGTTTATTATACATTAAATGTATATCTAAATGTATAGCTGTTCTATTTCTCTATATTTATAATAGTATCAGATTATTCTAAGTATTATTGCTTTTTGATCTGATAATTTAGTGCCATTCTTGTTTTTATTGTTTTTAAAAACACATTTACAAATGTACAATTTTTATACAAAGTTCTGTTTTCTTTTTACAAAGAAATACATTTACAAAGAAGAATACATTACTGATGTGTTTCTCTGTCAATCTTCCTCACATTTTTTTCATGTCAATCTCCCTCAATTTTTTAATGACTTGTTCTGTGCATTTTAGATTTTAATATTGAATAAATATTTATGTATTTGTAAGTTATAACGAAATAATAATAAAGCAAAAATCCACGAACTCTCAGTCAGCTTAAGTGACCATCCTCAATCCCATTCTCCCCTTCTTCTCCCTAGGAAACCACTATCCCAAGTTCTGTATTTATTATTTCTTCCTAATTGTATCACATATACAAATATATCTTGAACAATATACTGTTTGGTTTTGTCTGCTGTCAACTTTATATAAAGGAGATAATAACTGTCTGTATTCTTCTGACTTGCTTTTTTCCCCCATTTTTTACATTAAATCTATGGTGATGCATATTGCCACATTTTTTACTGCTATATATTTCTCTACCAATATATACCAGCATACATTTGTTCATTCTCCTGCTCATGCTCTTCTTTGTCAGATTCATAAAATTGTCATCCATTTTACCAAAGACTTTGAAAATGCTATTTGAAAAGACTTCTAAAATATCTAAGATATGTAAATAAACCTGTTTCTAAATATATATAAAACAAATATTTTACTCATTTTATAGCTAATTTAAGAGCAGATATAGGCAATTTGTACATGTAATTATTAGTTCATTAAAAATAGCATACTTGGTATAAAAAATGCAAAACAACAAAATCAATAGATCAGGAGAGTTTTCTAACGGATATATGGGTGTGTTCAATATGTATTTACCAGTTGGATGAACTTACAGGCAGTTTATAATGTGTATATTATAGACTCTGTGAAAAAAGTTGCTAGATTCAAAACAGAGAAACTGAAGATTGAAGAAAGACCCATCGTGTATCAAATTACAAACTCTACTAGTATAATATATATTTTAATAGTAGTCATTCAAGATATATTTTTTTGTTTACATCTAAGAGATGTTTGTAAAAGTGCTCTGCAAACTATAAATACCTCATATTGTTAATTACAATATTGTTTTTAATAAGAATCCTATGCCAACTGAGAATGGGAGAGGGTGAATGGTAAAATCAGGCTCAGAGGCAGCATGGAATCTCTCTATCAAAGACTTTCATGCTGAACTCCATGGAATTCTTTTAGAGGCTTCAGAGGAAATTCAGAGAGGAGAAGAGCAAACGAACCTGAACTCTGACCCTTGTTTCAACTTGATTAGATGTTCTTTGACCTGTTTTACCTACTGGGTTTTTGCAGGATGATTTTATAAATGTTAACAAATTTTAAAATAAAATTCTAATACTAATGGTTATAGAAAAGATCTCTAAATCAATGGAGAATATGGGTTTCAGTTCTAGCTCTGCCATTTAAGAGCTGTGTGATCTGAAATAGCTTTATCTCTCTGAACTTTTATATTTCATTTAAAAAAAAGAAGGGAGCTTTGTGATCTTTAAAATTTACTTTTATTCTAAAAAGTCTCTAACTTTTAATTAGGGTGTATCTTAGAGAAGAGCATTAAAGATCATCTATCTCAACCATTCATTTTATAAATACACAACTCAACCTTAGCAGAACCAGTGATCAAACTGCTCTGAGAAGATGAATATAAACACAGATACACATATCTAAAATGTAATATGGCTTTTCCTAATATTTTTAAGAATAATTAACCTCTGTGTCTGACCAGAAGATTCCTAGCCTAAAATTGTAAGTACATATATACCTTTTTCATAATTGGGCTACTAGAACAAGTTTTCAAATTCAAGTTTTTTGCCAAAAGGAGATAAGCACTACTAATGAAAATTTCTTTTGAAAACATACTTGTTCTTACCAGAGACTTGGCAGAGTACATCTTTACAGATACAGTTTGAAAGAGAATTCTTTAAGTAGTACTCATTAAAGAAGAAAATAAGGACAACTTACCCATGATCCTTTTTCAGTGCTTCTACAATGCTGAGCAACTCAACAACCTGTGCTCTAAGTTCATCCAGGGGATTTTTTTTCCCATCAACTGTTTCTACTTTAGCTTTGATTTCTACTGGACTTAGGAAGGCAGCCATATTTGGTTTAGACGAAGCACTTGCAGGTGTTGAAAGGTACACAGATGGCTGAAAAGAATTTTAAAAAGTATGTTTTCTTTTTGGTGTTACTTGTATTTACATTTAATATTATATTTAAGTTAAAAAGATACATGATTAAAGAAAGACTTCAAGGTAAAAGGTAAATTTCAAACTTCAAAAAGCTGTTTGCTTTTCTTAACTGATCAAAGAGTAAATCTGCAATAACTAGTAACTGAAATAGTTTTTATGAGAAATGCAGGGGCTTTATTTATTTTTTTTTTTAAAAAAAGCAGATTTATCTTATGAATGGTTTTTGCCTAGAAGAATCTGTTAGCATTATCAAGGTGTTGTGTTGTTTCTGCATATTAAATAATGTTTAATATATCCAAATAGCTTCACTTAAAAGTAATTATGAAGAATTTTGTAAATTTTTGGAACATTAAAAAAGAATCCATAACCTGACACCTTTTACTATTTCACTAAAATAACAGCAAATTATTTTAATAAAATTTCAATAAATTGCAGACAGCTGAGAGAATAAGATTAAACGTATTTGATACACTGAAAAACCAGCCAAATGCCCTAGGATAAAACAGAGGAATAACTTAGGAAGAAACACAACTTTCTTAAATATTTGATGTGCATCAATTTGGTAATTCTATCTTAAATAAAAATGGGAAGAGTTTAGAAAAGAATCTTCTTGTTGTTGGTAAGGTGTCCTTATCTTAATGGTATCCTTATCTTAACAGATAGAAGGATTCATTCATTCTATCACTCATTCCAGTACATAACGAGTGCTTACTGTGATGCCTAGCACTAAGCTAGGTAAGGAGTAAATATCGTTTCTGACCATAAGTGTACATGTTTAATGGCAAAATGAAACAGATGTATAGATCTATGCCTTAAAAATAATATGTATCTATATAACACTTATATTATTCATTTAAAATAACGTAAGTAAGCCATTTTTAAAAAAAATCTGCAGAGAATAGTGTGACAAATAACTCAGTTTTTAGCAGAAATTATTTCTTGGCAAAATAAATAATTCTTCTTGAAGGGCACTTTAAATTGTGAAATTCTGACGTTAACAAAGAATTATAGAAATTATACAATTAGACTACAATCACCTCACCTTTGGAGAATAGCATGTATCCTTTTTAAATTCAGACGGTTTTTGGTTGGCACTATCTTCTTCCTCTTTTGGTAACTTCAAGATTTTTTCTGGGCTTTGGGTTGGCTAAGTGATTTTTTAAAATGAAGAGACAGAATACACCAAAGAAGGAAAAGGTAGTAAGCATCTGGATAATAAAACAAGTAACTTATATCCTTTTGTTTTCAGCTGCTACTGTTTCTTACATTCCATTACTGTTAACAGGACTACACAATTTGAAGCTGAATAACACATCTGCATATCTTGAGGGCAAAAACAACTTGCCACTTGGTGACAAAATCTTTTTTCCAGTTAGGTAATTTAAAGAACCATACTGCTTAAGAGTTAATATACTAACATTAAAGTGCTATCAGTATCCTAGGCAATGTATCAAAAAAAAAAAAAAAATCAAACCCGTTGCTGTTGAGTTGATTTCGACTCATAGCAACCCTACAGGAAGAGTAGAACTGCCCCATAGAGTTTCCAAAGAGCACCTGGTGGATATGAACTGCTGACCTTTTGGTTAGCAGCTATAGCACTTAACCACTACACCACCAGGCAATGTATAGTATAGAAAGCGTAAAAAGATATTACACATTAGAAACCAAGAAAACTCCTACAAAAAGAATGAATATTTCAGGAGGAAAAAATTATTTTTCTTGTCTAGAGTGAATATCTATTGTTCAACTGTAATCATTATTATTGGACAGGAGGATTAAAACAGGTCCCCTGTCCCTCTTTGATCCTGTGCTCTGTGGTTGTGCTCTCATGACAACTTTCTATTTTCAGATCCTATAACCTTCCATTCTAGGCCTTGCTGAAATGGAAAGATCTCTCTCCTTTGTATCTCCTTAATTCGAGCATCTGCCACTTGAGTATATAGCTATCTTTCTGATTTCTACATTTTAGTGGAGCTATAAATCCTCTTTCATTCTTTTCTTCAGATGTACTCTGTATTTGCTAAATTCTCCGTGTTTTGTGACAATAATAACAACTTACAGAAGGTCCACCGTTGAAACGACCAGGCAATCTTCTTCCAGGCATCTTAGGTCTATTTGCAGTGAGATGTAGTAAGTTTTCTGAGGACGCTATATCATCAAAATTTACAAGATCTACAGAATAAAAATAAACACACATATTAAGCAATTAACTGCACATTTTAAAAGGCAAAAAAAACCCAATGTTTAAGAGTACCACTACTTTTACTTACAAGTTAAACTGTGCTTTTCATATGCATTTGGAAAATCACACTCACCCTTAAAAACAAACATCCTCTTCACCTGATATGTTTTATAGTATAATACTTTATAACAATATAAAGCTTATGCTTCTAACAGAGATTTAGACTTCAAAAAAAAAAGTTCCTATTGAAAGATATGAAAAATAGCCACAGAAATCTGCACCATGAGCGGTGGTAGTATAAAAAACTGTCATCTTAAACTCTTGCTTGTGAAATTACATGTTCTACTTCTTAAACTCATAATTATTACTATCAGAAAACTTACAAATAAAATTTGTTTCAAACTTCAAGAAGTATCCTAATATTCAAATTTTAAGGGTTCAACTGTACCTGGCACCCTGCTGCATCCCATTTGCATTTCTTAATGTAAAGTGAAAACATTATTTGTCTTTATTTGTGTATAGATATATGTGCACAGTATGTTATAGCTGAGATCCAAACTGATTATGGTTCACTGCACATCTGCTTAAACAACACTGTCATGTTTAGGACTCATAGTTAAAAATCTAAGGGAAATCAGACACCAAGGGAAAATGCTACACAGATCATCACCTTGCTTAAGGACAAATTTGTATCTTTGAAATAATGGTATATACTACTTTGGCTTTTTCTAGATGATACAAAAAAACTGTACTAAAGGAGTTGATCTTGAATTCTGAAGCCCAGTTATCTATACAGGAATCCTAAAGGTAAACTCCAGACACTTCCATTGTCAATATAATCTTCATTTAGTCCACATTCCAAACAAGGAGATATTAACCACAGCCAAGATGTTCTACATGGCAGCAGACATCTTTGGACCATTCCAGGTCTGGATTCATGCTTCAAGTTACCATATTCCAAATATTTATAAAACCTTCTGCCAAATACTTAAGTCCCAACTCAATGATTTGTTGTTTCTTAAAGACGTCTAAAAATAGTATTCATCACCACCCTCAAAGTTTATTAATCTACTTTCATATTCAAAGTAATTTATTTAGAGATTTTTTTGGGGGGTGGGGGTGGGGAACAGGGATGGAGGGCACAAAGGTAAGGCAGAAAAAGAGGCATCACTGTCTGGCAATATGCATTTTACAACTGAAACCTTTTGTTGAATACATCCTAAGATTATTTTGTGTGTTACACCATAGTGGATCACGTCACTAAGGTAATATATTGCAAGAGACCCTCCAATATAGTCAGTTTAATTTTTATCTTGAGTCTTTTAATAATTGTCTGTAAGTAATAATAAAATGCAATTAACTATAATAGGAAATGCAATGGCTTTAATGGTAAATGCATTATATAATCCCAAAGATCTTGAATTTAAATATATATTTAAATATATCTCATTTATTTATAAATACCATAAACAAATAAAATAGTTTAAAAAAAGGTATGTTAAAGATATCCTATAGTTTGAAGGGTTAAAGACTGCTTTTTAATAAATGTAAATGTGTATTGACAATTTACAAAAAACCTTCAGAAGTATAATATTTTGGCCTGTGGAGATTATTTTCAAATGCATATTTAAGCAACTTGCAGAAAGAAAACAAAAACACAGGAAGAGATGAGGACAAATGAAATTGAAAGGGTAAAAAAACAACAAAAGGCAGACTAATAAAATTATATACCATGCTCATGTAAAATGCCTTCCATACGTCCAGTTTTGGGCTACAACACCAAGACAAATACTTTTACTATTCTAAAACTCTCTCAGGTTCTCCATTTAAGTCATTAGGTTAGTAAAATGAAACAGTGCACATTTTGGACTCATGATATATCTGAATGCTTTTAAATTTACCTAAGAATGATAACAATGGATTTACACTGTACACATGGCAAAAAAGATATGACAATCATGTAATTCTTGCAATCACATTGTCATTCTGCCAGCTACTTATATTTCTGCATGTTACCTAAGAGGCCATGGAATTAAAGAAAACATAACAAAACATCCAATTCTGGGAGAAAATTAACTGACCTTTATGGTTTGCCAATTAAAAAAAAATTTTTTTTATTAATATTTGAAACTAATAAGAAAATGTTTCCAAAATGAATATCATTTTATGAAATGGAAAACCAAAAGGGTTAGAATACATAGACAAGACAAACATGTACACTTTCAGTAAAATTACAAAGAAAAAAAATCAATGTGCACCACCTATTTATATTAAATACACTATTTTGATTTCTTTTAAAAATTGTCATCTTACCAAAATGGAGAAGGGTAGGATAATTTCCTGACACGTAAGAAGGGAAACATGGCAAACAGGCTAGGAAACAAAATCTGGAAAGAAAAGTCAAGGATAGGAATGTCTAGAAAAAAGACTGAACCAAAAAAAATTATTTTACAAAGCAGGGAAACGGAACAGTTATAGAATGAGTAGAATAATTTCAATGATTAGTATATAGTTATTGCGGGTTATCTAAATTTGTATATCATGTACTGAATTTTAGATTTATTCCTTCGTCTTTCAAGAGGAAAAACTATGGTTAGCATTAATTTCATTACACATTAAGCTAAAATGAAACCAATTACTCACTGAACACCAAGACAGCTTCCAAAGTATGACTTACGGCTTTTCTCTTAGAGGCCGGAGTGATAAATCAATAGATTAACATTTCATAACATAGTTATAACTAAAATTAAACCACCTTTTAGTCAAGTTTTAGACTTTAGCACATGAAAATAATTACAATAAAGGAGGCAGTTTTAATTGTATGCTATCATAAAAGAAAAATTTGCCAAATATTATTTTTAAATACCCCACTACAAAAATACAAATCAATACAACCTTAAAGATATCTCACATATGTATAAGCAAAAATTTATAAATACCTTATATGATGCTTCCTATAAGATATTATCAAGAAATTATTATTAGAAACTAAAATTTTAATCTCTGCCCATTGTTCTATGTTTTGGGGTGGTTTTCTGTTTTGGTATCCTAGTTTAGACACAGAGTGGGACAGTGGTTAGGCGCTATGGCTGCTAATCTAAAGGCTGGCAGTTTGAATCCACCTGTTGCTCCTTGGAAATCTTATGGGGAAGTTCTACTCTGTCCTACAGGGTCACTATGAGTCGGAATCGACTCGACGGCACCAGGTTTCATTTTTGGTTTATTACTCAATAAAGAGCCCTGGTGGCAAAGTGGTTAAGTGCTTGGCTGCTAACCAAAAGGTTGGCAGTTCAAACCCACCAGCTGCTCCATGGGAGAAAGATGTGGCAGTCTGCTTCCGTAAAGATTACAGCCTTGGAAACCTTATGAAGGCAGTTCTACTCTGTCCGGGGTCGCTATGAATCGGAATCATCTCAACAGCAGTGGATTTGGCTTGGTTGGTTTATTACTCAACAGGCACTTTATTAGAAAATCCCACCATAAGTTCTTTCCGAAGAAATCAATAAATAAATATTATAAAAATTTTTCAGACGAAAATAGATCACTTATCAAGCAGAACAGAGAAAGAATGTTTCCCTAGTCAACAATGAAGGCTTTTGGATCAAATAATATTGCTCTAAAATTTCCTTTTAATCCTGGAAGAATTTATCATAAAAAAAAATCAAAAAGATAAAATACTATACTCTAAGGATAACTCATCAGCTGTGCTTTCTCAATCAAACACCTATGTTATTACAAAATTTTCTATTTTAAAGTAATCTGAAACAATTTTACTTCTCTGATGAACCATGAGAACTTAATAATTTACCAGTAGTGGCAGTAAGATTTTCCTTAAACCACTTTTTAATGAAGTATTTGAAAAAGAAAAACACGAAAAACAAAGCATGGGTCCTAAAAGCTTTGGAATTTATAGCATTATATCATATATGAGAATATATAAGGGGAACTTAAGTTACTTCACTCTACTAAAAAAAGAAAAAGGAGACCTAATTGTGTGTTATTCCCTAGGAATGTTTTTCCTACACGTACAAAAGTCAGATTTTGTATTTACATAGATAGCTATTATTTATATAACATAAATGTTTATATGTGGCTTTATATATAGGAAAACCGTATCTCAGAGTGAAATCAGAAATTTATACCCTTATGGATAACAGCAGAAACAGAACAAGAAGAGTTTAACAATGGAGGAGAGAGGAAAGAAGGAAAATAACATTTACAACTTCCATGTCAGGCATTCTAATAGGTGTAGCAGATATACTAGATCACTCAATTGTTAGGTTAAGTAAGAAAACAGATTAAGAAACTTGTCTATCACCAATCAGGTAATAAATAAAATCCACCTTTTTTTTAATCACCTCAAATTATTATTTTACATAATAATGAAGCTCTTGATAAAAGGTTTTAATATACTAAAGTATACATTTTAAGTGTTCTGAAGCATATATTAAAGGGCTAGCTTTATATCTTACTAAAAAATTTTTTAAACCTCAAACTAACACAAAAATATAAATTAAGAAATGCCTCAATTTAATGCTGAATAGGTATCAACATCTCACAGAAGAGGTAAAACACTTTTATAGCGCAAGTATTAAGAATTATTAATATTCTAATGAAAAAACGAACTAAGGAAGAGCCTCTGAATTTAGGTTTGGGACATTGGCTATTTGCCGTCACTGCTGATGCCTTTTATCTTAGCATACAATCTGTCCTAAAACAGTATTGACAATATAACACTTGCTCAGTAAATACCTACTGCTGAATATGAACTCAATCCCCAAAATATATATTTTCTGGGCTTTATAAGATGTAAATGTGGTACACCGAAAGCTGCTTGACAGTGGATGGAATAAAGAACAGCAGTTTGGACATTAGCTAGAATGAGTTATAGATGTAATTTTCTGACCTTCTGTAAGTCTAGTGGAGCCCTGGTGGTGCACTGGTTAAGAGCCTGGCTGCTAACCAAAAGGTCAGCAGTTCAAATCCACCAGCTGCATCTTGGAAACCCTATGGGGCAGTTGTACTCTGTCCTATAGGGTCCCTATGTGTCAGAATCGACTTGATGGCAGTGGATTTGGTTTTTTATAAGTCTTGCATCTCTGGATTGTTTCCTTATTTAAAGAAAAAAAAAACAGACCAGAAATTAAAAAGTTTTCAAACTCTGTTCCACAAAGCCTATTTGTTTTTTAAATAAAAAGTAAATAATGGCTATGGCTATAAGACAGAGCTAGGGACCAAAAATAAAAAAAAAGAACTCTTCAACTACCAATAATTTGACATTGGTATAAGTGTTATTTCTTCTAGAAATGTAGCAAAGAAAACGAAAGTCACTGATGACTGTATATAGGAAATGTTTTTTAAAAAGTGAAAATTTCTTTTAATTTACCTTAAAAAAATTCTTTAACTTCTACTACCTTGAAATAAACTTAAAAAAGGAAATGTTTAAGAATGATACAAAACAACAGATAAACACAGGCTCTAAATATTACTCCTTTCCATCAAAATTGGCGACTTTTGTGATAAAGGGTGCAGAAAATTATGGAAGTTCAAAATATCTTTTTTTTTTTTTTTGCTTTCTAGAGTTAAAACTATGCAACTAATCTTTTCTTCAACTAATAATTTTGAAAACAGATTTCTAGCTATACTTTAAGTCATAACAGAACACTGCATAAACTGATAGAATTCTGTTTTTTACCACTAATCTCATTAAAAAGGAATATATGATTTTTTTAAAAGCCATGAAGAGGATTTTTTTTTTCATTTAAGTAACAGTAAATATGAGCAATTTTTGTCAGTTAAAAACATACTGAATACACTTGAATGAATGCCTCTAAAATGCAACCAACATCTCAATTACCAGAAATTAGTAACGAATATGGCTTCATCCAGAGCAGGCAGTATACAATGTATAAGGAAAGAATCTACAAAACATTCAAATTAAAAGAATGAAGGAGGCCATGCTTAAGTCAGAGCTTTTGCATTGGCAAACTGAAAAGAGAGAAAAAATAACATTGCCTGAAAAAAACTGAAATGTAGTAGCACATATTACAATATGATCATAAAAAAATCTAAGTGTAACCAGCCTTCAAGTTGAAATATAAATATGAAATGCTAAAAATACATTAAGGCAGATTTTAAAAATGTAAAGAATATCATAGAGCACTTTATATAAAGGGGATTTAAAGAGTTCTCTTTTGATTTATGCGATATTGGATATTTTATGTGTCTGTAGCTTACTTTGTGATGCAAAATAGGGGAAAAAGTATTATGTCTCCTAGAGTTACTGTAAAGATAAAATAAGAAAAGTATGAGAAAGTGCTTTGAAACAGTAAAAACAAATGCAAAGCACTATACAAAATAATAAACCACCACTACAGAGTAATGATTGCATGATGATTTTAATAGTAAGATCTTTATCAAGACTTCTCTGTTTCATGTCTTGCATTTTATAACTAAAAGGTACGAGAGAGCCGAAAAAAGTTCCAACTAGAGATATAAAGATGATCAATGGCCTGAAAAATCAGCCCTAAAGCTTACGGAACAACATTTAATTAAGAAGTAAAGCCTGCTGACACATATTAGAGAATCATAAAAAGCCTATTTTCTTGTATTGGAAACAAAACAATCTTTCAGATAAGTGGAGAAATAAAAATCTTCTTTTAAAATATTATTTAGCGCTGGTACTGAAAGACAAAATCATCTTATTTTTTAATTTATAAAAATAAAATTATTTATATGTGCCTGATTTAGGTGGTATAGTAATTATATGATGAAGGAACAGACTAATAGATGGATGATCTTTTAACATCTATCTCAGTTCTCTGACCAGTAAAAAAAATTATATGAACTATAACTATTTTGGTCATTCATCATTTTTTAGTTTTATTTTTTTTAATTTTGGCTACATAAATTTTAAACAAATTTCTGTTAATTTCTACCGTATCTAGCCACATACAAAATGTATACACAAACGTCCTACTTATAGTTTCTGAAAACTATACTGACAACTTCTTTTTTAACATACCACCTTTCTGCATGCTGACTTACCTGTTTCTTTTGAGCTCCTTACTACAGAGGAGTCTAGTTCTACTGATTTTGGTCTAAGTGGTAACTGTTCAGAATCCAGCTTTGGTTTTGATACTGGCTCAGCTTCAGATTTTGATGAAATGGTAGAAACTTCCCCATTAATCCTGAAATGAGAAAAACAAACATATACAAAAATCACTTGTATGTGAAATATAACCATTTTTCTGTAGAATTATTTCTATAAATATAAACCTCAGCCATAAGACTGACTACAATATAATTAGAAATGTAAAAACTTTTAATATGTATTCACCTACAGTGACTATAACACAGAATTTAATACTGAATGACTTCAGACAATAGAGAATATGTAGAAAATACAGTCGTGTGTTGCTTAACGTCCATGATACGTCATATGAAATAGGATGTTAAGTGATTTGGATGTTGGGCAAACACTGTATTACATATAGGTAGCCTCCAGATTATGAAAGAGTGCCGTTCCTAAATCTGTCTTTAAGTCGAATCTGTACGTAAGTCGGAACAGTTAGGTACAGTTCGTAACTAACGTCAGTTAGTCAAATGTTTCTTAGTATATAGTATACAGTGTACCTTTCTATGCATAAAAAACATTAACAAAACACTTCCATAAACACTAAAACGTCTTTAAGATAATAATACAGTAGTAATAATAATGTTTTAATACACGTCGCAAAGTCGCACCCACTTGTTATTACGAACCATTGTATGTACCTTGAATTTTTAATATAATAGGCTTTATAGGGGTTGGAACCATGGACGTATATGCAGTCAGACGTTGCCCCAACGGACATTACGGGGCACATGACTGTACTTAAAAAATTACTTTGGGATTTATAAAGGCAATAAAGACATTTAGGTCAAAGATAGGTCAATCAATAAGCTAATTTAAAATTGGGAAAACTTACTTGGCTATAGGAGGTGGTGGAGGCACTGGTTTTTCAGGTCGCTTTGGGTACACTGTTCCAGGAGCTCTCAATAAATTATTGGCTTTGGTGGGTGGGGTAGGCTTCTTGGGTGGGACTTGTGGAGCAGCTGGTTTAGAAGGTTTCTGTTCTAGAGTTGATTTTTCATCTGATGATTACAAGATATTTAATAAGTTTTAACAATCAAAACTACTTAGGTTTTATAATTGTAAAAGCTAATGTCAGGCTGGAACAGAATGAGACAAAGTGAGAGACATTAATTCTCATTATCTATCTATCCTATCTATCTTTCTCTATGTCTATCTCTGTCTCTACCTACCCGTCTGTCTATCTGGAGTCCTGGTGGTGCAGTAGTTAAGCGTTCGGCTGCTAACCAGAAGATCAGTAGTTTGAATCCACCAGCCGCTCCTTGGAAACCCTATGGGGCAGCTCTACTCTGTCCTATAGGGTCACTATGAGTCACAATCAACTCAGTGGCAAAGGGTTTGGTTTTTGGCTGTCTACCCATCTATCTCTGCCTATCTGTCTATCTCTGCCTATCTCTATCTCTCTCTATATATATATCCATCTACCTACCTATCTAGTTTTACCTGTTTTTAAAGATCAATAGATCTATAGTACCAAGGAGGACCCTAGGTGGCGCAAATGGTTTGCACTAGATTTTTAACCTAGAGGTTGGTGGTTTGAACTCACCCAGCAACACAAGGGAAAATAGGCCTGGTAACCTGCTTCCATTAAGATTCCAAACCAAAATGCATTGCCCTGAGTCGATTCCAACTCACAGTGACCCTATATGACAGAGTAGAACTACTCTATAGGGTTTCCCAGGTTGTAATATTTGTGGAAGAAGACTGCCAGATCTTTCTCCTGTGGAGCAGCTGGTGAGTTCCAACCGCTGACCTTTCAGTTAGCAGCCGAGCACTTTAACCACTGCACCACCAGGGTTTCTCCCGTTAAAATTACAGCCAAGAAAACTCAATGCAGTAGTTTTATTCTGTAACACATGAGGTCACCACGAGTCGGCACTGACTCGACAGCAACTAACAACAATGACTAATGATGTTGAGCCTTTTTACATGTGTTTGTTGATGATCTGTATATTTTCTTTGGAGAAATGTCTGCTTAAATCTTTTGCCTATTTTTCAATGGAGCTGTTGGTCTTTTTGTTACTGAGTTATGCGTTCTTTACATATACTGGATACTAGACCCTTATCGAATATAAAATTTGCTATTATCTTCTCCCGTTCTGTATGTTGTCTTTTCACCTTCTTGATAAAGTCCTTTGATGCAAAAAGTTTAATTTTGATGAAGTTCAATTAATCTCTTTTTTCTTTTTTTACTCATGCTTTTTGTGTCATATCTACAAATCCACTGCGAAATCCAAGGTCATCAAGATTTATATCTTCTTCTAAGAGTATTACAGTTGTAGCTCTTATATTTAAGTCATTGATCTATTTTGAATTAATTTATGTATATGGCAGAGGACCAACTCCAATCTTTTGCATATGGATATTCAGTTTTGAGTGTCAGATTTTTAGTTCAACTAAAAGAAGGCTTATAACAAAAAGTCTTATGTTAGTTACCCTAATGCCTAAAGGAAGAATTATGTAAGATACAGATTTATGGTAATTTAGAACAGAGAAAAGGAGCAAGAATTAGCATATATATAAAGAAAAATTTTTGACTAAAAATAGGTATAACATACAACAGCTAACAAAAATATAAGTAAAACGTCCTATTTTATTTACTACATAATACAACAATACATTACTAACACTATATATAATAAGTTAATCCATGTAGAAATTTAAATACGGGTTAGTGCCCAGCTGTATGAATTGGAACTGAAAAATAATAAATAATGCTGGCACCAAAGCATGAATGATGATTACAAGTGCATAAATTCTAACTAAAGATCAAATATTTTATTCTTTTTATTAATGATCACTTGGAGATGCACTAGAGGGAAAAAAACAGTACTATCAAAAAAGCTGTTGTACTTAATCAAGTCTATTTTAACAACTGAAGATAAAAGAAATCTCCCCATACTATTATTTCTAAAGTGTATAAATTACTTCAGTGAGATAAAAGTTATACAGCTGTTCTGGAAAGGTATTATTGTACTTACCTCAGCATATACCACTAAAATGCATGATGAAATTAAATGTTAGAAATATATGATTGCAATGACCTCCTAATTGTCAAACCCCAGTGCTGGTTTCAGGGAGCCCTAGTAGGGTAGTGGTTAAGCACTCAGCTGCTAACCAAACGGTTGGTGGTTTGAACCCACAAGCCACTCCATGGGAGAAGGATGTGGCAGTCTGCTTCCATAAAGATTACAGCCTTGGAACCCCTATGGAGCAATTCTACTCTGCCCTATAGGGTCACTATGAGTCAGAATTGACTCGAAGGCAACGAGTTTGGTTTTGGTAATATGGGTTTGAGTCCCAATCTTCCCTGACATCTCTGTGGCATCTGACAATGTTGGACAGTTCTTTAAGAATTTTAACTTTTTAAATTAAAATGTAACACTTTCAAAAACTTAAATCACAAAGCTCAACAAGTCATCACCACATGAACACATCTGAGTAACCACCTCCAAGGTCAAGAACTAAACATTATCCACATCTCTAAAGTTCCCCTCATGTTTCTTTCTTCCCAATTACCACCCCATCCCTCCTACCCAAAGGTGTCTTCTAACACTACAAAGTACTTTTGCCTATTTTTGAACTTTATATTAACAGAATCATAAGATTCATGCTGCTATATGTAGCTTAGTTCTTTCATTTGTTGCTATATAGTATTCCAATATATGAATATACTTCAAATTATCCATTCCAATGATGGACATTTGGGTTATTTCCAATTAGGGGCCAATACAAATAATGCTAGGATAAATTTTCTTATTTGAGTCTTTTGGTGCATATTTGAAGCACACATTTCTGCTGGGTATATAGCTAGAAGTGAAAAGTGTTGAGTAACAGAGTATGGGTATATTCAACTTTAGTTCTCCAGCTTGGATACACCAATTTACACTTCTACCAGTGAAAATTCTACTTAATGTGTATCCTCACCAACAATGAGTATTGTCAGTCTTTTTTTTTTTTTTAATTAGCAACTCTGGTGAGTGTGTAATAGAATCTTACTGTGGTTTAAAACTACATTCCCATGATGAGTGATAAAACTGGGAAACTTCTCATACTTTGATGACTATCTGGATATTCTCCTATAAAATGAAGTTTCTATTCAAAATTCTTACCTGTTTTTTAATTGCGTTGTCTTTTTCTTCTTAATTTGTAGTAATTCTTTATATATTCTGGGTATAAGTGCTTTGTCAGTTACCTGTGTTGTAAATATCTTTTTCTACTCTGTGGCATATATTTTCACTCTCCTAATGGTGACTTTTTATTAACAAACATTCCTAATTTTAATACAGTCCAAATAATCTTTTCCTCTATGGTAATACCTCATGTGTCCTGTTAAAGAAATAGTTCCCTACTCTAAGGATATATATTTGCTTGTTATCTTCTAGAAAATTGTCTTGCCTTTTACATTTATAGCCACAATTCATATAGACTTGTCTTTTATGTATGTTATAAGGTAGGATGCAGGTTTTCTTTAGCATTATTTATTGGAAAGACATCCTTTTCCCACTGTTTTACAGTGAAACTTTCATCATAAAGCACCTATTGATCTATTTCTAATCTGTGTACAATATGAGGAACAGGTTAAGATTTATTAATTTCTTACATGGAGATCAATTAATCAACACCATTTACTCCATGTTTTCTGAACTGCAGTGGCAACTTTGCTATAAATCACATGGCCTCTAATGTCTCTCTTAAATTCTTGCAGTGATTCTTGCCTTATAGGCGCCTTTGTCTTGTATTAATATAGCTACACAAGCTTTCTTTTCATTGGTGTTTGCCTGGTGTATCTTTGTCATCCTTTCAATTTAATCCTTCCTGAATCTTTAGCATTAAGGTGTATCTCTTGTTAGCAAGTTATGGTTGGTTTTCTTTTTTTTTTTTTTCCTTTTTTTATCCAGTGGAAGATATAAATAAATAGTTAAACATACACTCCTTGCCATAACATAGAAAGATGTTTCATGGCCTAAATAAGTGCTTCTTAACTTTGTCTTCAGATTAGAATCATCTACAGAGCTTTAAAAATACTAATACCTGAGTGACACTCTACAAAAATTGTGATTTAACTGGTCTGAAGAGGATCCTAGGTATCAGTATATTTTAAAAAGACATCCAGGTAATTCTAATACACAGCTAGGATTAAGAATAACTGTACCAAGCTACCCTTCCAGTTTAATTTCTCACAACTCTTCCTAGGGTGCCTACAGCCACTTCCTGAATGTGCCACGTTTACTCTTATTCTTCTCATATGCTCTTTCTGAGACCTGGAACCACCTTTTTCCAGTCATCATATTCTGTTTATTTTCTAAGTCTCTGCATAATCACAACCTCCTCAGTATTATGCACACAACTATTCAATTAGCAATTGTCAGAATATCACCATTATAATTGAAAAAAACTTAAATGTTTTAAAAAATCTCCCTATTATGAGGCCACTTGCCTCATAAGTATATACTGACTGATTCCATGTTATTGTGTTTTAACGTTCGGTTAAAAGTGTATTTAATGTGTGGGTATGCATAAATAAAGAATATTGTCTGCTACTTCTTAAGAACTAAAGATTATTTTTAGATTCAAACTGGAATAATATAATAGATATCAAAATGTTCTTTGTAGAAAATTAGAGATAAGTATCATTTCCTTTTTGGTAAGCACACTAAATATAAAACACAATGGAGCGCTGCCATAGCTCTTGATTCATTCTCCATACTACATATTGTTCACAGATGAAAAGGCATTTGAGTTCAGTACTTTCAATAATAAGTGCCATTAAATGAGGCTTAAACATGCTGATCTTGATTTTAATTCTACACCAAAGTAATTTGTCTTACACCAAGGTTTCACAGAACATAACAAATCACTCACAAACATGAATATTGATTTGTTTAACAATCTACGGCCAAGCAAAGATAGTTAATGACTGCCTCAAGACTTCCACTTAAGGCAGTATGTTGAATTACATACCAAGGCCTACTATTCTGCCAAGTTAAAATTCTATACA